AGGATCCTCAGGGCATACTGAGGTTAACCACTTCGCTGCTGCGGAGCCAGCCGTGATACCTTCTTCCCTTCCAGTTACTGCTAGGAAAGGGGCTTTCAGATTTTGGGGAAGGGCTGAAACCCTCTGAAGCAGCACACCACACAAAACCGACGTGGCTGGGGACAATGCCCCGTCCAGGGGGTGGAAGAAAATCCTGCTTCCCTACCACCTTCCCAAAACAGCCCTCCACACAGCTTTCACGTCTCCAGGCTGAGCTCAGCCATGCCCACGGAGTAGCACTCCTGTTCCAGCTGCAGCAAACCTGGGAAAGCCCATGCAGCTTCACCCCCGTGGGCAACATGGCTGCAAACAGACCCTGCGCTGTCCCAAGGCCAGGACCCCACCCTGTCCCAAAGTGCCATTGTATCCCCTGACAGCAGCTCTCCCTTGGGAACATTTCCACCCTGCGGGACGCCTGCCTGCTCAATGCAAGTGGTAAAGCCCTGCCATGCCCCAAAACTCTGCCAGGACATCACCCCTTCCCTCATTGCTGCAGATTTATCGGTGCTGTCAGACAAATCAGGCCAAGCAGAGCTCGCCCTGTTGTGGGGTGCAGCCAGGGGATGCCCGGGCCCCTCACAGCCAGAGGGGTTGCGTGCCCAGGGGTGCAGACTGGGCTGTGTCTCTGCCCCGCTTCCTCTGGAGCAGGAGCCCCAGCACCACTTCAGCCAGCAGAAGTGATTTTTCACCCCACACCAGCAATGCTGGTCCGGCAAAACCTCCTCCTAGCAGCCGCCAGCACGGTCCCTGAGCCAGCTAGCCCAGACTTCCCTTCCCCACAGCCAGGTCTCTCCAAAATCCAGGAGCAAGGGATTCTCACAAGCTTCAGAGCCAGACTTCACCCCAAGAGTTTTAAAACAGCCAGCAGAGTCTTCTGTGGTTTAAAAAAGTAAAATTCAATAAAGGCTGCTGGGGAATCCCCTACTGTAACACACACCCCCCTCCAAACCCATAGCTTTACATTGTAAAATAAGCTCAGAAACAAGGCAAGGCCCAAGGAGACAGGGGCAGTGAAGGCACCTGTTACCTCCCTATAATTAGAGACAGTTCTTTATCACTAATGCTACTGCCAGAGCACCTATAACCATTTTGGAAACACTGAAGTATTTCCCAGCTTCATTAAATTATCCATCTGGCCCTCCCCTGTTCATTTCCCTACTATTTTTCCTGCTTTAATGAGCCCAACTGAGTCAAACAGTGACCAGTTACTCCTGAGCAGGGATCAGCCATCCCTCCCCCAAGGAATCCGGTGCACTGAGGGATTCAAAGACTCCCCACATATCGGTTTTCCCCAACAACCTCCTTCCAACAACGGGTATACTTAGCAACAGCAGTCATCCTGGTAAGGACCCTCGAGACTCCTCTAAAGATCTGGAGAATTCAGGACAGCTGGGGATAGCCATGGCAAAGAAAATCCTGGGGCTTGCTAGTGCAGGAGAGCCTCTCCCCAGGCGGTGACCATACATGGGCTGCCGAGGGCTCCCTGCAGCTCAGAGGGTGGGAAGCCCCAGAAGGAAGGAGAAAGGGGAATCTGGGAGAAGCCAGCCTCTCATCTCAGACCCCATAGGCAAGAGGAATCTTCCTCATGAGCCGAGGTGCAAATATCCTGCAGACCACAGCCCAAACGATAGGGGCGTGTGCAGCCGAGGGTGTAGCAACTAAGGTCAGTGGCTGTCTGAAGCCTCTAGAGCTGTATGGAGAGTGCTCTGACCAACAGACGCAACACATATTGGGTTATCTAGCCCTTGTGTAAGGCAGGCTTCCCCCACGCCTTGGGCTTCCAGCCTCCCACCGTCAAGGCAGGAAGGTTGGCTCCTTCATCCTGCACCATGTTGTCCCATCAGGGCAGGACAACCCAAGCAGCCACCTCCCCAAAGCCCACCCCAGCTTCTCACCTCTTTTGGGAAGGCTTACACTGCAGTGGTTTTCTATATAGCAAATCCAGTTCATGGAAGAGACCATAACACCAGTTTGATTTAGGTGGTGCTACACTGGCATCAGCATGACTTTGCCAGCACGTCCCCGTTTGTATAGGGAAACAGAGTAAGCTATGTCCAAATTAGGATTCCTAGGACATTTTCTAATGCAACCTCCTCTTCTGTATACGCTAGGCACAGTTAAATAGCTAAGGTTCCTTGTTTAAGCAAACTCAGAACCTTTTTTCTCCCCATATCTCCTCGCTGTGCATTTCCACCAGGGAGCCTGGGGATCTACTTTCCTGGCAGTTCCATCACAAGGCTTGCTGTTCTCACCTCCAGCATGCCTTAAGCTGTCTTAGGAACACTGTCCTGACTCCAGCCATACACAGGTCAGCTTGCAAACAGTTTTGTCCTCAAGGAGAGGAGACCAGAGCTGAGCTAGCCACAGGGTGAGAAAAGGTAGCCCCAAACAGCAAGCATACACTTCCTTCCTCCATTTTAGGAGTGGAAATCACCAGAGTCTAGCAAGTGTTTAAATAGCACAAGTAAAAGCAGGAGAAGTTTAGAGTTGCGTATGAAACTATTACACAAGCGGAGCGGGAAAGTAGTTCTCCATATTTTAGAAACGAAAAGGAAGTTATTTTTGCTTGATAATTTTGTGATCATATTTCATTAAAATTCAGAAACACAGCTAGGGAGGAAGGGATGTGCCACCTGCCATCAGTATTCACATACATGCTTTTTAAAAATGTTTCTAAAGGCTGTAAGAGCTTAGTGCGACAGAACAGAACACACACCACCACCGCCCCCAACAGCCTCTTACTTAGCTGAAACTCCAGTTGGAAACAGGGAAGGGAACAAGCTGACCCTGCCCCAGCAGCAGCCCCCCACTGCCTGGCTCTGCCTGCACCCACTGCAGCAAGAGGGGAGCAGGAAGGCTCAGTTGCCTCGGGCTGCCCCAACATCTGCTCCTTGGTCCTGCAAGGCGAGCCAAGCCTGCAGCCAGGCTGGAGCAATGCTGGGAATTAAATTGACCATGCTGAGAAACCCCTCCATTCCCCCAGCAGCCAAGACTTCCCTTTGGTTTCAGCAGGGAGTCACACACACAGAGCCTTCCAGCACCTTTTGAAGCTTCCAGTCAAGTCTTCAGCCAAGGCTAATTGCTGTCAGGTGTCAGCCAAAACGCTTACTGCAACCATTACTGACAGGAGATGACACACCTTTCTCCTCTCATTGTCACTCAAGGCTGTGGTTTCCTATCGACATTAGCGGTGCTGGCTTTCAGAAGCCTTGGGGAGAAATGCTAATGCAAGCTTTGAAGATGGAGGCAAAAATCAGGCAATCCCCCGAGCTCCCTGGATGCTCAGCCTGTATCCAGTCCAAATCTGAGTACTTCTGGGTGAGACACCTCGGCCGAGCAGAGGTCTGCCTTCACCACATGCGGTCTCTGCTGCTGGTCTGTCTGCTTTTAACCCCCACGGAAAGCTGTCCGCGTTGGAGCAAACAGACCCCACATTTTACAGTCTCTGCTGATACAGCAACAAAGCAGAGCAGAGGCACGGGGAGATGTATACCCTTACCAAAGACAGCAACTAGCCTGAAACACTGCCAGGTTAATTCAGTTAGAGACAGGACACAAAAAGCAATCAGATGTGCCCAGCGATTGCTGCGAGGAGAGGAGGCAGCTGATCTACACCCACTGGTCTTAAAGCTGGGGCTGAGTTCAGCTGCAGAGCAGGTCCATGTTGCCAGACCCCTCGCTGAGCTTGCCTGCTGCTGGAGCTGCGGCTCCCCACTCGATCAACGCCTCCTCCCAAGGGCTTTGAAGTTCAAAGATGATGAGACCTTTAGGAAGTCTAAGGCTCTCGCCACCTGGAGGAGCTTGTCAAAAGCCTGCCGGAGCACCTGACCCGTTACAGCCACATGGGTCGTCATCATTTTGGCCGTGCATCCTCCTTTCCCACCATCACCCTCCCACTTTCCCAGCCTCCCATTTTCCCGGGACTGGAAGGCAGCCGTGGTGTTGGGTACCAGGTCCCCAGGCCTCACCTCTCGCTCTCCCTGGGGCATGCATCTCCCACTTGATCCACACCTTCCGCACCCTCCTGGCACCCCTCTGAGTCTGACATCTTCTCCCCTAGCCGGCGCGGCAGCCCTGCAGACAACTCTGACACAAGGGGGCTGCCGCCGCCTCGCGTTTCCCCTGGAGACCAGCAAAGGGAAGGCAAATTTGGGGTTTTTTTTTGTTTGTTTTTTTTAACTGTTGGGACCATTTTGAGGTTTTGCCTCTGCCAGCAGCTCAAAATCAGGAAGTGCTGGGCTAACCCAAAGCAGCGGGCACGGACATCCGCACCATGGCGGGGGGGGGGGGTGACCCACCACTCCCCGAGCTGCCCATGCTGCTTTGGGGACAGCCAGCATCTCCAAACCACAGCACCCTACAGCGCACCGAGTACCAGGGTGCTGCCGCAGGAGCTGCCAGCGTTGACCTGCCTTCGCACCTCTCAAAACCCACTGGAGACGAAGGGTCTGCTTCTGCCCTGCGTCTGTCACCCGCCACCTCCCTTCCCAGCCCTTCTCCTTCCCCATGGCTTCCTGCAGTTGCCACCATGGCTGGAGGTTCTGCAACACCTCCTGGGGCTTGGACTCTTCTCTCTTCGTCTCTTCAGCACTGGTGAAGAACATGGCCAGGAGCTGGCGGTGCAGCCTGGCAGGAGGACGCCAGCACAGCATGGTGGCATGGCCTCGCCCTTTTCCTCCCCACAACAAGGGAGATGAGCATCCCCAGCTTTAGAGAGGGACCAAAAGCAGACAGGTCCCCATCCCAATCCCTATAGCATGGCCCCTGCCAAAACCTCCCCATCCCCACCGGGACCCTGCTGGGACCATGGCATGGGTTAGGGTCCGGCCCCCCAGGCAGGTGACACCCGCCTTTCCCGCCAAAGCTTTATTTACACCGCTGCTGCCAGGACACAGCTCTTCGCAAAACCACACAGAAACGGCACCCAGTCAGTGCCACTGAGCCCGGGGGGATGGCGGGGACAGGAGGGGACAGAAGACGGGCTTGGAGAGATGGGCACTTAGGACTCGCCAGCCTCGAACATCTTCTTTCTGCCCTCCATGCCAGACTTCTCCTCTATGTTCTTCCTCCAGTCGCCGACATCACGGAGGTCCTTCTCCTGGGGGAGGGATGGGCATGTGGGTGTGAGCGGTGCCCCCCTGGGGTGAGAACCCGCCTGAGCAGGGCCCTTCACCCGTCCACCCATGGAAAACCCTGTATCGGCTAAAGGAACACAGTTCCACCAGTGCCGTACATCTTTTTGGTCTCCACCCTCCTTTTTCAACATCATGGGTGCCAGAGGAGGAAATACTGAGCAGCAAGAACACCATTACGGACAAAGGCTCACCCTCAACCCTGTCTATGACACAACTCCTGTATGGGCACAGGGGAGAGGGAAGGGGTACCTTCTCAGTGTCCTCCTTCTTGACTTGCTTCAAGTTGGCTCGGAGGTCCATGCAGACCTTGTGCTTGGAGCCCAGCAGGGCCCGCAGCATTGCATCGGCGGACATGCGCACCCTGCGCAGGGGTGGCCTCTTGAACTTGCCCCGCAGGTCAAAGAGCTTCTGGTTCAAGTCTTCCAGCTGCGCGGGGACAAAATGAGGGGGGGCAGAGAGAGAGTGGAGCGTGGGTTTCATGAGACGAACCCAAGTGCTGCAGGGAGGCACAAAGGATGGGCTAGAGACTCCCCTGAAGGATGGCTCTGGGGAGAACTCACCTCCTTGTTAGTCTTCTGTAGCTTCACCTCTGTGTCGTACCTCTCCTCATCCACTGACTCTATCTTAGCATGCAGCTTTTTGCACAGCTCCTGGGAGGAAAAGCAGAGAGAGATGTTGACTGCTAGGACGCATGCACGTGATTGCTCTCTCCTGGCTACTCTGGCTCTGAAAGACCTCAGTCCAGAAGACCAGATGGGGTCAAGACCAGATGGCAAAGCGTGGCTTGCAGGCCAGCTCCTGGTCTCCACGCTACCAGCTTCACGCTAATGCTGCCTCAACATGTCATTAGAAACGCAGCTTTCCTGCCAGCCAGACACCTTTTTTTATTTTTTTTTGCAGAGAGACCCCAGCTGCCTCTCAAGCCATTTCTCCATCCAGCGAGCTCCAGGGCACCCACAGGTGAGAAGGGGGTCAAGATGGGAAGGCCAGTCTAGATCCACCAGGCTGACTGATGCAGCCAAATGCTTTCTGCTCTGGCACAGTGAAAGGGTTAAAGAAGTCTTTACCTGAAGTTCCTGCATGGATCCTGGGAGCGACAGAGGAGGGCAATGCTCTGACAGGTAGTTTTGCTTTTCCGCTTCTTTAGCAGCTGCTTCTCTTTCTATTTCAGTGGCAGCAAGCTGGAGCATAGCACTCTGGAAGGCAGCAGGAGGATGGTCAGCATGGGGTGGAGGCAAATAAGGAGGATGGGTAAGATCAGCGAGGGAGGGCCCTGATGGAGAGGCAGCTTGGGGAGCTTGCCACCAGCATCTCAAAGCAAGGGATACTGGTGGGGACCCAGTAAGGAGTGGAGAAGGGTGTTGGGGACCCCACATTATGCATTGTGGCCTCTTCCAGAAGGGAGAGTGACAAGAGCTGGCTGGCTCGGGATGGGAGACGGAATGGTTGGGACACACCTTGCCCAGCCCCAGTAGTGCCACATACCTTCAGGTGCTGCCGACGGGCAGTGGCTGCCCTCCTTTTTTTCTGCAAGCAGGAGGAATGAGAGAAAAGCAGGTTATTGGGTGCCCATTGCCCTTTCCGTTCCCCTCCCCATGCAACCCTACAGTCTGCTGAGGACCTGCAGCCCTGCCAGGGAGCTGGCTGCAGCTGGGGTGGACGGCTTGACACACAGTTGGTCCCCAAACCAGTGGCATTCAAAGAAGACGCTCCCTGCTGAATCCACCTTTGCAAACCTCAGGTAGCTAAAACCTACAAAGTGCCTCAGGAGAAGATAATGAGGGTGACGAACTTGAAAATGTGTATCTAAAATATAACTTCAAACTTGGCTTCTTGGGACTTTTAGCCTGTTCTCTAATTTCCTCTTCACTCAGACGTGTGTTTTGCTTTGCACTCAAGCTAACGGCCCTGATGCCCCTTGGCACTCAAGAGCTCTGGGATGTCTTTCAGAGCGGTCCATGGCACACTCGGTGAGGACAGCCAGGCAGGTGAAAATGTGAAGGCGGTGTCATTTCTGGGAGCCAGAAAGACACAGTGCAGGTGATGCTGAAGGGCGTTCATCATGTCTGGAGGACAGACATGACTACAGGTTCTGCAGGCCTGGAGGCTGCTCTGGCCAGGAGAAGTGGAGGGCCACAAGGCTGCGGCTGCAAGATGCAAGCCAGCTCTCTCTTCCTTGGGATGCCAGGTAAGAAATAATTTGGGAAGCCTGGAAGGCCAAGCCTGCCCTTCGGTACCCGTGATGTGCTGGAACAGCAGCAACAGGTCTCCTATTTATAAAAGAAGCCACAACTCTGATGTCTGCTGCATTGCAGCTGTTTCCTCAGCATTTTGCCCAGAAGACCGAGCAAGGCTGAGTGTGGCTGGGACAGGGGAAAAGCACCCTGACATCTGATATGCCGTGGTGGGGGAGTCGAAAGCAGCATTTGGGTGTGAGTTTGTGCTGCACAGAGGAGGAAGTGGGTAAGTATCCGCAGAGCGAAATGTAACAAAATCTGACATACTTTGCATATGCAAATGGTGCTAAGGCCCTCCTGACAGGGCTAGAGGGCTCTGCAGAGAAAAAGCATTCAGCTTAGAGATGCAGTGCACCATGAACTGGCAGGATTTTGCTCAAATGAATACTGTAATGGGCCACGACAGAGCAGATCCCTTGCGCACTGCTAGCCCAGAGCTTATTCTCTGTCTGAAAACTGGTACCTTTGCAAAGAGTGCCCTCCCAGCCTTTTCTGGGGGCACTGGGTTTGATGGGGAACAAAAGCACCTGTTGGATATCAGGACCATATTGTGGAGTTTCTATGTGTCGCAGAAATCCTCTCTTCTCTCGGTGAGGACAAGCTTGAGCTTGTGGTGTTTCGGGTGTACGGGGAGGTGCCAAGAAGAGGTGAAGGGTGGAGCAACTTGCTAAGAGGAGATACGGAGTGACAAAGCCGTGCACAACCCTCCCACACCTTCCCCTGCATTTCCCCAGCCACCCCCAGGCTTTGAGCCCAGCCCTGCTCCGGCTCTGCCAAAAGCCAGGGAGAACTTGCTAAGGATGCAGCCTGCACCCTGCTCATGCTCCCCTGGATCCAGGTCTCCCTGGGTCGCCTTGGAGAAGCAGTTTGGCAGTGCTCAGTGGGCTAGGTTTGGGGAAGGACGAGAGGCGGTTAGGCCAAGGGCTGGGTGGTGGATGGGTGATGGAGGAGAGGTGGATCTGGACCACCGCCTTCCCAGCACCAACTCGTGGCCGGCTGGGGAAGCAGGAAAGGGGGGAAAAAAGCATCTAACTCCAAGACAAGAGGCACCAAAGACCTTCAGAAGGGATTTTTCTTCTCCTTTCCATCTTTACCAGAAGTAGTCAGCAAGAAAGCTTTGCCGTGAACCATTCTTTCCTCCCCACACCCAGCAGCTGTTTTTCCAAAGGAGGAATAGTAAAGCCAGGATGGATGCCATAAGCATCGCTAAAGAAAAAAACCCAGCAAGACACACTTACCTCATCACTGTTCAGGAAGACCAGATGGACAAGGAAGGGAAGGAAGAGAAAGGGGAAAGGGGAGAAAAAGGCAGTTAGCATCCTAATTGGACACAAGCAGAGGAATCTTAACAAGCATAAAAAGCTGGCTACTGAACCAAAGTTTTTAAATGCCAAAAATATATTAGAGGCAGAAAAATGGGAACTTACTCAGACATCGTGCTTTAGGTGGTTGTGAGCCTGCAATGAAAACCAAGAAAGAAGGTTCACAATTATTCCTGTTGGTGGTGACATTTTTAGGTTTAAAAACAGAACAAGATTCCTCTAGAAAACAAAGAAAGAGGAACAGGTTTGCTCTTATTTCCCAACTTCTCAAAATTTTCTTCGTATAGGGAACTAGGCTGCAGTTTGTGGATGAGAGCCAACCACGTGCCTACTCACAGCCTCACAGACCTCAGCATCCGGGGACTTCTGGACCAGACCAAATGGTGCTGGGCCAGAAAAAGAGAGATTTGTGACAGTAGTTACTGCCGGTATGTGTCTTGCTTGACCCCCAGAAAACCATTCTATGCAATGAAGGAAGAAGAGGAAAAAGCTATTTTCAGTTTACTGCTTTGCTTTGCCGTGCAGTCTTGACCTACTTCATGAGCAAGTAATACCCCAAAGCCTGCAGAGGGTCGGCAGCGACCCCGGGTGACAAGAAAGGACTTCAGAGGATGATGCTGCCAGTATTTGTATCCATTGCATGGGGCAGGGGAGCCCGTTGTGGCAACCTCAGCACAGATGGCAAAGAATGGGATTGAAAGTTGTTGTTGAATTGGTAAGGGCACAAAGAGTTTCCCCAGACAATTCCTTGCATTTCCCGTACGTGCACATTTTACAGGTACAACGCAGCATATTAGGGAAGAAGTGGATGAGCACCTTTGCTTTGCTTCAAATTATTTCCCTGTAAATAGAATTTTACTTTTCTAGCAGAGCAGTATCTCCTGCTTGTATCTCCTAATGGAAGGACTCGGGAGTCTCGGCTGAGCCCAAACCAAGCTACTCCTTTGCAGAGCAGGCAAGTCCCCGAAGCACAGCCATCTGCAGACCTGGGAGGTTCTGTTGGGAGGTGAAGTGTTAACGGGGGCTCATGCCCGAGGGAGGAGGCACAGCTTGCAGGGCCAAGGAAACTTTATCCTGGAAAATGTGCAGGCCCATCACATTACTTCAGGGAGGAGGGGGGAAAAGTGCTTCTAAAAATGGTCAGGGAGCTGCAGAAGGAGCTGCAGCTGTCTCCTCGGACGGACGGCAGCCTTTCCCCGGTGCCAGCCCCCATGACTCAGGGAGGTCGGGGCGATGCAAAGCAAAAGCCACCGCAGGTGGCTGGGCTACAGCTGAGGGACGGGGCGGCCGAGGAACGCCAGCTATTTTTACTTACATCCCTGCCCCGCGTGCGCATGCACCCACTTCAGCGGCAGCGATGCTTTGAGCGCTGGGGAAGTGAGGGGACAACGCCAGGCTGGGGCTCGCTGCCTGTAACGTGGGCTTTAAATCACCTGTTCTGGGGGGGACACAGTAAATTTGGATGTCGGTCCCTGTCCAAATGTGTTTTTGGAGAGAAAGCCCCTGCAAGGACCAGGCTGAGGGCTGGAGGAAGGGGTCTAAGTAGGGAGCATTGCCAAGTTACTGCAAGCAAGGGTCCCACATCCCATGGCCCTGGGGAGGTCAGCGTTAGGGACCCTGCAGCTCTGCTTGCCCTCGCGACTGAAGCAGAGAGCAGAACCAGCCAAGGGAGGGGAAGGCACGAAACCAAAGAGCAAGAAGGTCACTGCAAGAGACAGAGGGAGACTTTCCGACACACAGACCCTCTCCAACAGGCAAAGGATGGAGAAGGTTTTATTAGCACCCCTGTTTCTCCCAGCAAGTCACCCCCACCTGGCATTTGTCACCCTAGAACTCAGGTGAGTGCATCTGCTCCCCCCTCACCCCCTAAGAGCAAGCTGGGTCATTAAGGGACATGCAAAATGGCTCACCCAAGTCTGGAGGAGAAAATCAGAGAGTCCCGCTGGCCAGACAGGACGGACTGGCGAGCCGCAGGCAGCTGGCTGAGTAAGGAGGTATAAAAGGGCTTCTCGGGTGGCTCAGCAGAAAATCCACCTTCTCTTTAAGGGCATAGAGACCTTCTCAGACCAATGATGTGCAAGAGTCCCTTGTGCACCTCCCTTGGCTGGGGCAGGCCAGGCAGGCAGCCCCAGAGGAGAGGGCAGCACCAGGACAGAGGAGTGGGGAGGGGGAGGACAACTTCCACCCGTCGGGTGGGCAAGCGGAGCCACCCCGGGGGAGCCGGGGAGGTGCTTTTCCTCGGGAGTGCTGAGGAGGGAGCCTTCCACCCCTCTTCCTCCCGCCAAACAGCCACACTAGATAGGGCTTCAAGGTTGGGGGGAGCCTGGGCTCCCTGCGCGCAGCCATCCATCTGCAAGGCCTCTAATAAAATTTCCCCTTGGAGACACAGAGAGGCTTATCCACAGACAAGGGCATGGCTCCGTTCACCTCCAAGGGCTTGGGAGCAGCTCTGCCCTTCAGGAATGAAGAGGGCAAAGAGACTGCACCCCGGAATCCACCACTGACAGCATGTGCAAGACCAATCCCTGAGCGAGCCATCCACCACTAGCACACTCTTTTAACCTCGCTTACCACATGAGAAACATTAGTAGCTCCTCCCCATGTGAAATATTTCAACACAACTAAGGTTTTTTAAAAAACAAACCTGTGCAGCCGCTGCGGGCAGCCCCAAGGCTCACTGCACCGTCGGGGCTGGGAAGAGGGGA